TCAGAATAGATGCTTGACGAGATTTAGTCTCCTTAAATTTATTGACTTGTTTTGTGACCTAACATATCATGTATCCTAAAGAATGTTCCATGTGCACTTAAAAAGAATGCATATTCACAGTGTAATTTTTAAATTTAGGCCTTTAGTCAGTTTGAAGTTTATGTTTTATGTATGGAATGAGCAGGAATCTAAATACAGCTAGGTCCAGTCAACCTAAAATAGTCATTGATTTCTAATGTCTTTAGATCATAATTTCACTGATCAAGTTCTATCAATAAATACCTTTAGTATATTTTTGTAGTATGTTTTATAATTGGGTAGAGCAAGTCCTACATCATCTTTCTTTCTTTAAAATATTTTCTTGGGCCCTGGCCCAGTGGCTCAGTTGTTATGAGCGTCAACCCCTACACCAAAAGGTTGCAGGTTCAATTCTGGTCAGGGCACATACATAGGTTGCAGGTTCAATCCCTGGTCAGGGTGCATATGGAAGGCAACCAATTGATTTTTCTCTCCTTCCTCTTTAAAAAAAAAAAAATTAGTCCTCAGATGAAGATTAAAAAATAAAATATTTTCTCAGTTCTTCTTATATATTTACATTTTTGGATACATTTTAGAGTTCATTACCAAGTTCCAAAAGGAGTCGTTGGAATTTGATTTGGAAATATATTTATAGCCTAGCCTGGGTTGCTTAGTGGTTGGGTGTCAACCTATGAACCAGGAAGTCACAGTTCAATTCCCTGTCAGGTTGTAGGCTCAATCCCCAGTGTGGGGCATGCAGGAGGTGGCCAATCGATGATTCTCTCTAGTCATTGATATTCTTATCTCTCTCTCCCTATTCCTTATTCTCTGAAATCAACAAAATATATATTTTTTTTTTTTTAAAAGGAAAAGAAATGTATTTATAGTATACTTTTAGGTAGAAATATATTGATATCATTACCTATATATTATATAGATTATTTATAGTTTAAAAATTATAAATATCATTGCCATTTTGTTTCTAAAATTATATATATGCACATATATACACACACACACACATATACATCCTATATAATATAGAGCTAATATGGTTGTCACGCCCTCACACCATCATGCCATAAGGGCTCAGACACAACACTGGGGAGAGAGGAATGGGGACCAGCCAGTATGCAGCCTGGGAGAGGGACAAGCCGCCCACCCTGTGGTTCTGAGTGCCAGCAGCTGCAGCCAGGGAGAAGCAGCCTGCCTACAGTCCCCTGTGGCTATGGCCGGCCTGGGTGAAAGCTGGCCCGGGTCCTGGTGCCTGTGGCCGGCCAGAGGGAAGGAAGACTAGGTCCCAGGTGCCTGCAACCTTCTGGAGGAGGGAATCCTGGGTCCTGGGTGCAGGGCAAGGCAGAGACGATTAGGGACGATCAGATCAGCAGGGGAGCAGTTGGGGCGATCAGGCTGGTAGGGGAGCAGTTCGGGGCAATTAGGCAGGCAGACAAAGGTGGTTAGGATCGATCAGGCAGGCAGAGGGGTTAGGGGCGATCAGGCAGACAGGCAGGCAAGTGGTTAGGAGCCAGATTGCAAGAGGCAATCAGATATCCCCCAAGGGGTCCCAGATTGGAAAGGGTGCAGATTGAGCTGTGGACCCTCCTTCTCCCCCGCTCCTCCTGTGCATAAATTTCCTGCATTGGGCCTCTAGTATAAAATAAAAGTCTCAAAGAATATATAACAAAATATATAGCAGTGGTTATCTCCTGATGTTATAGGTGTGTGTTTTTCTTTGTACTTTTCTTTTCCAAACTTTTTACAGTGCAGGTGTAATACTTGTTATTAGTAAATCCAAGTATTGCAATCCTGAAAAATGTTATTAAACTAAAATGTATCCATTAGTAACTTTGCATTTACTTAACATAGCAGAAGCCAAATAGAATATAAAATATTTCATGGGAGATAAATATGTGACTTGTAGAGTCAAGTACAGATAACCTGGCTCAGAACATAAACCAGAGTTGTTCAAATATTCCCAAAAATAATCTGACATTCAACCATTCAATCTGACATTCAATCTGCAATACAACCTGACATTCTCCTCACTGATATTTTTCAAAAATATTTTTATTGATTTTTTACAGAGAGGAATGGAGAGGGATAGAAAGCTAGAAACATCAATGAGAGAGAGAGATCAACAGGCTGCCTCCTGCACATCCCCTATCGGGGATGTGCCCACAACCAATGTACATGCCCTTGACCGGAATCAAACCTGGGACCTTTCAGTCTGCAGATTGATGCTCTATCCACTGAGCCAAACTGGTTTCGGCTTCTCAATGATTTTGAATGACTGACTTCAAAATGAATGAGGAGAGTTATTGCCTTTTCACATAGCAGTATTTCTGGGTTATATTCTGTGTAGCTGTATTTCCAAGGCACCTGACCTCTTTGGTTTTCCCATTTCAGAGATTTATATTTATGTGACACAGCCAGGCCTTGATATGCACCAAGAATTAGTGTGGTCTAAATCTAGCCCTTGCATGTCTTGATCTTTTAGTCAACATTTAGCAGAAAAAAGATTGCTGAATCTGTTCCCAGCTCGTTGATATATTTGAAGCAGCAGCATGTTAATTCTTGGCTCAGAGCATCTAGATTCTATCAACACTGTAGTTAGAACTTAATTCTCTGTGCTTTTTAATCTACATGCTCTTTTTGGATAATCTTACCAATTTCATAAAAACAACAGTAACTAACAATTATTATAATGACATGTAACACTTATCAAGCATTTTCTATGTGTCAGGCATTATACTACACTTTACAGGAATACCTCATTAAATCTTTAAAACCTTCTATAAATGTTATTGCCCCATTTTACATGAGTAAACCGAGGCTCAAAGATGTCCAGGTCATACAAACTATAATTGGCAGAGCAGACATTGAAACCCAGGCAGCCTAACTCTCTGGAGCCTATGTTCTTAATTACACTTTAAACTCAATTTTTAATTTCTCTCTTTGCCTAATATCAGCTCTGCTTCCTGTATTTTCTATCTGATTTGTCTAAAATCCACAGCTATAACTGTCAAAATTATTCTCCATTCTCTGTCTCTTAACTCCACCTATCAGTACTACCTTCGCAAAGTCTTACAAATGTCTGTTTCTCTTCATGTGCCCAGACCTCACCTTCGTTGCACTCTCCTTGATTCACCTGGGCTTGTTCAGTTACCTCACTTCACATATTCTTTTTTTCCACTCAGTCTAATGTTTTTATCTTTATAGCTATCTTCTAAGAAAATGAACCGATATGTCTCTGTACTGTTTAAAAACTCTTGGACTTCCTTTTGCTATCGTTGTTGTTGTTTTAATAAGATTAAATCTAAGCTCCTTAGCTTTACATACACAATCTGGCCCCAGTCTGTCTCTTCAGTTTTCTATGGTTCTCCACCCAACCCCACTTGTGCTCCAGCCATATTGAGCATCTCACTCTTCCCTAGGTCTGTGCCAAGCCCTTTCATAGCTCTATGCATCTGCACTTGTTTCATCTGTTTGAAAGCCTCCTCTGTCTTTGATCTCCCAAACTCCTATTCGGCTGTCAAGATCCAAATCACATGTTGCCTTTAGTAACATCTTCTCGGACTCCTCCAGGATAAAACAGTCATTTTTCCGTCTTCCCGTGTAGCATGTGTTCACGCCTCAGTTACTGCCCTCACCATGCAGAGCTGTAATGATCTGTTTATGTGTTTGTCTCTTTTATTAACCTATATGGGTCTTCAGAGCAAGAACCAAGACCAGGTCCTTAATAAATGTCAGTTTGATGCTTGTAGGAATGTCAAAGAGAGTGTTTGAAACAATAAGAAGTTAGAAATATACTTACTCCTAAACAGACAGAAGACTACCTCATGACCAAATTAACAGGCTTAAGGAGGATTGTCTAATGCACTGAATACAAGTGATATATAAAACGGGGGAAGTCTTTACATTCTAAGTTTCCCTAAGTCAAGGCCCATTATGCAAGACTCAGATCCTGTCTGCGAGCATTCCTGTACTGAGCAGGGGTGTGATGCTGGGGCACAGTGGAGAGAGCATTCCACCTGGAGCCAGAGGACTGGGCTTGGAGTCCCAGCTCTGCAAATACAACCCTTGGAACTTGGACTCGTCACTAACTTCTTTAGATCTTATTTTCATGAAAAGTCATTTGGTATTTACTTTTATATTTTCCTGGTTGTTAATTTACATGTGGGAAGACTTCGCATAGAAAGTGTCTCTTTTATCATTTTCTTTTTTAAGCTTTATTGAGGTATAATTGACAAAATTGTGATATATTTAAAGTGTGATGATTTGATATACTTATACATCATGAAAGGATTCTCACAATCTAGTTAACACATTCATCTCACATAGTTACTTTTTGTCTTTATAAGAATATTTAGGTTATACTCTCTCAGCAAATTTCTATTATTTATTACAGTGTAAACAACTCTTGTCACCATGTTTAACCTTAAACCCTCAGGCCATATTCATCTTATATCTGAAAGTCTGTACCCTTTTAACGACCTCATTGCCCCATTCCCCAGCCTCCTGGCAACTATCATTTTACTCTCTGATTTTAAGAGTTCAACTTTTTCCCCCTGATTTCACATATAAATGATACCATGCACTCTTTGTCTTTCTCTGTCTGGCTTATTTCACTTAGCACCATGGTCAGCAAACTGCGGTTTGTGAGCCACATGCAGCTCTTTGGCCCCTTGAGTGTGGCTCTTCCACAAAATACCACAGCCTGGGCAAGTCTATTTTGAAGAAGTGGCATTAGAAGAAGTTTAAGTTTAAAAAATTGGGCTCTCAAAAGAAATTTCAATTGTTGTACCGTTGATATTTGGCTCTGTTGACTAATGAGTTTGCCGACCACTGACTTAGCATAATGCCTTCCAGGTTCATCCATGTTGTTGCAATATCATTTCTTTATTGATAAACAATAATTCTTAACTCAATGTAAGTAGGATTGTTTTCTTTTATCTGAAATCCACTTTTTCTTTCCCTTTCAGCTTCAGAGTGAATTAGAAAAAGGTGAGCGGGACAATGCAGAGCTGCAGGAGTTTGCCAACGCCATTCTCCAGCAGATCGCAGACCATTGCCCCGACATCCTGGAGCAAGTGGTCAACGCACTGGAAGAATCATCCTGACCCCGCTTCGTGGGGAGCGGCCAGCCAGCAGCCCAGTGCAGTGAGCCCAGGAGCCAAGAAAAGCGAACTATGAGGACAGGCACCCAGATACTTCCTGACCTCTGCAAACACTACGAACTCTGTCCTACTGTGGTTAGTTCTTCCAGTGCGATTCCAGCGCCACTTCTACATCTGCCATCTTACTCTGCTGTTCGCCTTTGGATGTTGTCTAGACGCTTATTTTTTTTTATGTCCAAGGTGGGTAAGTGGCCAAGTCTCCCTGAGGAACCACCATCTGGTCATCAACAGTGGAGAATTCTGGAAGCTGGTGGCTCTGCCCGCATAGGGTCATGGAGTAGGGAGCCTCTTACTTGTGTCCTCAATGTGGGGACTAAACCTAGAACCTACTTGGAGTTCAGCATACTGAGAGAATGCTTCCGCATGGACAAGAGAGCTGAGTGTCCTAATCACAACAGGTGCTTTCTCCTAAAAGGCTTTTTTTAAATCTCAAAAAGATATTATTAGAAAAAGAGAGAGGGTTAAAGAGAGAACAGGGACAAACAGACAACTGACTCTTCTTACACTGTCTCTTGTGTTTACTTTCATCTGCAGTGTTCTATGCGGGGCAGCCGCATGCAGGCTCCTGGTGGCTCGGTGCACACTGACACCCAGCCCTGTCTGTCTCGCTTATGCGTGCTCTTGTCCTCGACCAGTTAACGGCAGGGTGGTGCAAGCAGTTCTCCCCCTAGTCCTCTTGTGTGAGACCTTTGGCCTTTTACTTAGATCGTGTATCTCTATTGGAAAGAGAAGAGGGGTTTGACGTGAGGCACTGTCATCACCAGCTCTGCTTCTGGAGATGGCCATTGCCAGGGTCAGGCTCTTTCTCCTGAACATCTCCCTCCTCAGGCCTCTGAGCCCCAGAAGAATGCTTCTGCCTTCCCCACCATGCTCCACGCCCAGCCGTCACTGAACTCTCTGACCCACCTTCCACCCTTGTAGCTTACCTCTTGATTTGCATGCATAGAACCTTAGCTTCATGCATTGCCTGGAACCTCCTCTGACACAAATGAATGTTCTCGTGCCACACACATTCCTTCCTCCATTCTTTCATTCAAAGAATATGTATGAAATGCCTACTGTTAGGCAGTCGTCCTTGGGGGAACAATGGAGGAGAGGTATAAAGGATTCTATGAGACATACCTGCTTTAGTCAAAGCAGCAAGAGGCATACTCTTCGACTCCCCCAACTTAATCGAAGATATCTTTTCCAGAAAACCTTTCTTAAATCAGCATATCTCACTTCTCGCTATAATAGAATTGATGGTTTGGGGCTGGGGCTGAGTCACTTACTTGCCATTTGGTGATTCAGGACGTTTGCATGTTGCTGCCCTGAGGGAGCACACTGTCCAGGGGCCTGTTAGAGTAGGTGGTGTTACCGCGTGGAACTTGGCCAGCTCCATGTCACAGGTGAGAAAATTGACCCCAAAGTTGCAAATTCACTTGAAGATAACTGGCGTTTTGAAGAGCATTTTCCCCATGCATAGACAATGACAGTGATAAACAAAATCAGGCACCAAGAAATAGACCACTTAACCAAAATCCAGGCCTTTGACCACCTCTGTGACCAGACCTCCACCAGACACCCACCTCTTCTGATAAGAGTTGCTGGGCTAAATGCCGTGTCTTGCACTTTCTTCTCTGCCCTTTGCCAGTTCCTCACCCTCAGAGTCTGATGCTCCTGGAAAGCCGTCACGGCCGTCAGTGCAGTGTCTTCCCTCCACAAGCCCTGACTGTCTCATTAACTTATATGGTCGAATCTCCAGCTGCCCTGACTCCTGCTGTAAAGCACCCCCTTCCCTCCCCGTGAGAAGCTGTAGAGTGCTCCTTATCAAAGGCTTAAATGGACTCTGCTCATAAAGTTCTTACTGAGATGCCTCCTGATAGCCAGGCTGGCCGGAGTCGGGGCACAGGGGTTAGACATTAAGTGGTGGTCATTTGTGGTCAATTACCTCAATTTCATTTATTTATTGCACTGCCCATAAATCATGCAGATAGCCTCTAGTATTCTAGAGTGGAGTATTAGAATCTCACTTTAAATGCCATAAGACAAAGAATTGAGGTATGATAACAGCCTTCACAGGACCACAGCAGAACAGAAAGCAGAAGAAGCCATGCCCAGAGAAGTGGCCTGGCCTGGCATAGCTGGCCTTGGTCTAGCTGATCTGGCAAGGGAAGGCATCAATCAGATCTCTCTCTGGGTCCCACTGGTTTGGCCTTTACCAACAAATACAATACCTGCCCCTGTTGCCCACATGTTGAATAATTCTCAGTGCACCTTCTTCCTTCCTGTCTTCATTTCAACCCCTTCTGTTGCTCTCCCTCTAAAACCTTATGGGAGTCCTCTGGACAAGGGCTCCCAAGAAGAGTCATCTCTGGGGCAGACAGCATATGTCTGGTTTTTATGAGCCAAAGCAGGGAGTCTCGTTCATTCTTCCTTGTATCTCAAATGGTTCTGGGGACTTTTTGGACCTGAATGAATTAGGCTCTGGCTAAAGTTCAGTGGTGAACATGACCTGTATTTACATAATAGGTACAAAGTCTATACAGTTTCTATCTGGTGTTTAGAGTATCTTACTGAGTTTAAATCATTCATCGAGCCAGCATTTACTAAATGCAGAGTTCCCATCACACAAGGACTATCGTTTTGTGACCTTTTCATGATTTGCCAAGGTCTCACAGGTCCCTCAGCTACTACCAAATGTCTGTGTGTAGTCTTGAAAACTCAGTGAAGGTTGCCTATAATGTTCACCAAACTCATTCATCCCATTGGCAAGCCTAGTTGCCCCTTAACACCTAAATATTTGTACCCCGAATGAAGATCATCATAAAGGGGACAAGAAGAAGAGTGGGTGGAATCCAACCTGGAGCACATGACTAAAGAAAGAAAATGTGACTTCATCTTTTCATATACCTCTGTCCCAGGTACTCATTGAGTCCGTGATGAAGTATTGAACTGAGATTTTACAAGGACTTTGGACACCATTTGAAATAGAAAGGACTTTAAGTGGGCTCTAACATATTAAGAAATGTGCATGGGAATCCTGAAATCCATCCCACGTCTAACTTTTGACCTTGTACATTACAATCTAAAGAAGACCTAAGTTCCTTTTCCTCTTTCTTACACTCGGGCTTTAAAAATGCTAGTAAGGCATACTAGACCCAAACTATCTTCAGTGTCACTAGTGGCACTTTCGTGAGTAAAAGTCTGTCTGGTTTTTCATGAGGAGCTCATTGGCTCACCCACTCCTCAGAGGAAGAAGTCAGCACGGAGCTGATGGTCAGGATTGGCATTTGGATTTGCTGCTAGAGAGTCCTGCTGTTCCCAGACCCCTCCTGCCCTTCTGTTTGACCACATCAGAGCAGAGGCCCGCGGGCCACCCGCAGGGTCTTTGAGGAAAGAGCAAATGGAGGAATGTGTCACCACATAGACTGTGACCCTCCTGTGACGCCTGCTAAGTTCCCGTGAGCCCTGTATCAGCAATATCAGTAACTCTCACGTCTGCCTCCCCGGCCTCATCTCCCCACCTGCGAACGCTTAGGACTATGGAAAGGGAGATGAGGAGGGAGTGGGTGCAGGCAGCACGCTGCCCTCTGCAAGGCCTGCAAGGCCACGCATCCCCTGTCACTGCCAGTCCCTGGGCTCTCAGAGTGATTTCAACCATTTAAAGAAATGTTTTAAAGGAATCCGGAGTTTCCTCCATGTGAACTAAGGGAATACTTGGGCAAGAAAAACACACAAGGAAATCCTTCTGAACAAAATGGCTGTCTTTACTCTTTTTAAGCAAAAACTGTTTCCAAACTTTTTAGTGTCAAAACTGTAACCAAGTGTCTCCTGATTCCCCCCAATGTGTGTAGTGAGTACTGTGACTTTAATGTAGGTATTTCTCCTCCGACTCGGGGGAGAGGTGGTTTTAGGACTGATTTGTGGGGAGCTGGTTTCTGTCCCATCCCACCTCCTCTCTTGTTTCTCTGCTTGTCAATACTGTCTGTGTGGCTCAGAGAATTTGGGCAGTTACATTGTGTCCATTGTTGAAATTATTAAGATATTAAAAAGTAGTTGTAGAACTGAAAAATTAAAGAGCTGTGTTTTTAAAAATGCAAATCAATATCATGTAAAAGGAATTCAAGCTATGGGGCAGCCGAACTCCGCCCTTCCTCCTAAGCTGGCTTAGGTGGCAGCTGGGCTGGCCTCTTGGGAAGTCCAAGGACCACCCTCCGGCAGTGACTGCGCGGCGGAAAGACAGCTGCCGGGGGAAAGGAATGGGAATCTGGGCCTCAGAGTTCCAGTCGTGCCAGCGCTTTCCTGTCCATCGCCAGGACCTCTGGGTAGTTTGTGACCCCATAGCCACTCTCACCCCCACGTTGGTCCCAGCTCAGTGTGCCTAATACTATGTGGCAACCGGGGCTTGCCTCTGAAGAGCAGCCCTGTTCAGGCCACAGAACCTCTCTCGTGCCCACTTGGTGCTATATCATCCAGTGACCATCCCACATGGGCCAAGCACTGGCAGCCCAGAGCCTGCAGTCCGGTGAATGCGTTATACTCAGATCTCAGTTCCTTCTGGCTTCAGTCCTAGATTCTTTCCCTTTAAGATGTTTAGTCCCAGATCTCCTGGGCCCAGGCCGCCTCTGTGGCCCTCCCCCCCACCCCCTCTAGATGCCATCGTCAGAAGGGAAGTGAACCCCGCTGAAGCCAGAGAATCCGGCCCTGGGCCTGAGCCAGCCCTCCGAGCCCAGCCGTTTCACACCACACCAGTATTGCATCACCCTCTAAGCCAGGCCGCCAGCCCACTGAGGCAGCACACCGGCCTCTGGCCTGATGGCTGTGCAGGACCAGCCCCGCACCTGCCCAACAGCAGGGTGTCCAGGATGGGACGGAGTCTCCCTGGGACATGCACCCCTCGCTCCAGAAGAGAAGTGCTGCACTTTAGTGAGGAGCTGGGGGAGGGGGCTGGGCACTGTTTCCTTGTAGCTTGAGTTCCTTTTGGTGACAGTAGCAGCCGCAATGGTGGTGTCTGTGATGCAAATGCACCTGCTGCCTTCAAGTGTGCGTGTGCGTGTGCATGTGCGTGCGTGCGTGCGTGTGTGTGTGTGTGTGTGTGTGTGTGTGTGGTGGCCAGTCGCATTACTGACAGGATAATGACACTACAGAGAAATTGTGTTATAGTCAACTTTGCCTTGATAATTATTGTAAACACTTTGTTTTGTTTTGTTTTATATTCACAAACTAAATCCATCGGGAACTTATAAAATTATTTAAAAATTATGTGCTGTGTCTTTCTTTGAGTCTTATTTAGTCTGATACTTCAAGGGAGCTGTGGCCTCAGACGGGAGAAAAGCAGGGGGAGGCCAGCAGTCCCCAAGGGGTCAGCCCTGGTGGTAGGTAGCCGAGAACCAGGGTGCCCGTCCCTAGGGGGCAGGGGGGCAAGGAGTTGGCAGCACCTCCGCCCAGACAGGCTGGCGGGGTGGTCTCAGAGAGAAGAGCGAGCCTCCGTTAGGTTCCCACTTACACTCGATTGGCAGCCTTTTCCACCTCCCCGTTCCTTCCTCACCCTGGGCCGAGCCAGGTTCCCCGTTTCTGATTAACTTCCTGGCATAGAGCACACACTCTGCTGAGGGCCAGCATAGCGGCTCCCACTCAGATGGCAGACAGTGAGGAGGGTCCCAGCCTGACAGGGTTTTCTTAAGAATTGGGGGTGTTCTGACGTATTAACCGTGGGGTGTGTGAGCTGCCACTCAGCAGGAGCGCAGATACCAACAGTGATGGAGCCATGAGACCCTGTGCTTCAAGAACGTCCAACCTTGCTATTTGTCTGGGGCCTGATGCTCAATAAGAAATTGTTCTGGGAAGCTTCTTTTATGAGAATGTGTTAGATTCATTTCTCTGTCAACCCCAGAAGAGAACCAGCCTGCTTGCTGCATTTCCTTCCCTCCCTGGTCAATTCTGTTGCCCACTGTGCGTTGGCGCTTAGCTAGAGCGTCAGGGTCCCTCGCAGACGGTCCCAGTGACCTGACTCCGCCCGCCTCACCCTCTGCAGCCCTTGGCTGCTCCCGAGCTGAGCCGCCAGGTGGAGGCCATGGGGACCTCACCCTTCCATTCACAGGACCGAAGCCTGGGGCAGGCCTCTGAGCCCTTTCCCAGCAGAAAGAGTTACGCCCATGGTACAAAATCCCCCCAGGAAGTTGTCAGATCGCCCTGGTCAGCTGTCTCTAGGGTTTCCCATTCATCTTTTCCACTGTTTGTTTACACTGTCTGTGGCCTACCAGTCCTGGGTTTCAACAAATGGATGCAGAGACTATGCGGTTTAAGGAAATATGAGAGAACTTGCCATTGAGAATGCCATTCATTAACTTTTTTTCCTCTGAATTGGGAAAAAACTGCTATTATTTGATTAGGGGGATGGAATATCTCAAGCTTGCTCAAAGTTGATTAAGAACCAGTTGGACCCTGGGGTGGGGAGCGTTCCGAGGAAGCGGCTTGAGCCCCGCCAACCTCCCCAGGTGTCCTAGGAAGGGCTGTGGCCTCAGCCCCAGGAGCCCTGGCCTCTCGGCCTCTAACTGTCCCTCTGTAAAATGCTGCTGCTTCCATCGAGGTCACAGCCATGTGAGGATAGTAAACAATTATGTCTTTCTTTTTGAAAGTCCCTTTAAGAGTGTAAAGCATAAAATTGCTTTCTTCATGCCTGCATGTGCTTTACAATTACCCAGGATGTGCCCTGAGGAGGGAGGGGGCAAGGAGAGGAGGCAGGAAAGAGGGGCTATGCGTCCTCAATGGCTGGTGCTAGTCAGTGGCTACCTGGGTTCATTATGCTACTAGTGGCCCGGTGCATGGATGCGTGCACATGAGAGGAAATGCATTAGAAGGTGGCGGGGGGGGGGGGGGGGGGGGGGCGCGGGGCCGGCTGGGACAGGCCTGATGCACCCTGGAGCCAGTCTGCGGTCCCTCCCAGGTCAGCCACACCTGGGGCGGCACCACGAAGGGCTTCTGCGGAGTGAGTGGGTTCCCTCGGCCTGGCCTGTGGGATCGGGCCGAAACCAGCAGCCTGACGTCCCCCGAGGGGTCCGGGAGTGCAGAAGGCACTCTGCAAAGTTGCTGTTGTACAGGGTGTGAAATGCAAATGCAAGTGTGCAGTAAACCAGTGCCCCCAACAACATAACCCACGGCCAAAGGTGGAAATGCACAGTGCCAGGAGGAATGGGGCTCCCTCCTCTCTGGTTTCAGGGTGCAGTCACCTGAGAACCTGCAGTTCCTCAGCTCCTGCATTGAGTCTGCCCCCTGGTGGTCAGTGCACATCACAGTGACCAGTTGGCCAGTCAGACACTTAGCATATTAGCTTTTTATATAGAGAGATTTTCTATTTTCTGTGTACATTTGGAATTTTCCTAAATTATATATTCACATCCTTCCATTGTACTTGTTCAGTGATCACTGATGGACTTTCCCCCACCCCCACCCTGGATCCAAGTAATCCACATTCACAAACTGCCTCCCTGGCCCTCAGTCCAGCATCCATGCCCCTGTTATAGGCCAGGCATGCAGATAATAGCATGTGTGAGGTCCCGTTCTCAACACTTCACAGGTTTTATCTCATGTCCATGGCAATCAGGGGAGGCAAGGTACTATTACCCCCATCTTAGGGGTGAGGCTGAACACCTTTCCCAAGGACATACGGCCAGCCAGCAAGAGGTAGGGCTAGAATTTAAACCCACTCTGTCTCCAGCTTGTGCTTTCCAACCCACCACTGTGCCACGTCCCTCCGGGAGCTCCCAGTCCAGTGTGGGGTGGAGCACAGAAGAGCAGGCAATGCTTGGCATAGACCTTCAAGTTTGACCTTGAAAGATGAATTGAATTTTGCCAACAAAGGAGTTCAAGGATGGGGGGGCAGAAAAGAGAGCCTGAGCAAAGACAGGGAGATAGGAAAGGACGCGGGGTGTTGGGTAGCAGTCCAGTGTCGATGGGTCAAATACTGCCTGGCTTAGGAGCACAGAGATGGCATGGGGGCCACAATGTAACTTCAAAGGAGGTTGGAGGGCCCATACTGTGAGGGCTCTGTAACGCCCTGGACAGAACGGTAGCTTGGGAGAGCATTACCCGCACTGCCAGGGACCTAACCACAAGGCTAATCACAGCAGCACCGGGCATGTCAACTCTGGGAGACTCCCGCCTTGCTGACCCTCAGAGCTGTCAGAGATGGTGAAGGAAAGGCCTGGGCCTGGGCCTGCCACAGGGAGCTGCCCAAGGTTACACAGCGAGGAACCTGAGGGACCTGAGCTCCAAACCCAGCGGGTCTGTTTCCACTCCCTTCCCTCCAGTCCCTTCCACTCTCTCGCTCGCAGCACCATCAGAGGCTCACAGCTGAGTAGGAAGCAGACTGTGGTCTGGGACACCGGAGGCTGCCGCCTTGGACAGTTGAGGCACTGAGGTCAGGTGGTGGTTGGGGGTTCGAAGGAAAGAGGGGAATCCTGGCTTGGTCAGCAGGATGGATGAGAGTCACCCCAGGGTTCATGCTCTGTTAGGCTCTGGGCACCACTGATTCCCCAAGAATCAGACAATGGGGCTCTAGGAATGCTCCCACCTCCTTCCCGCCCTCACAGGGAAAGGACCGAGGCTTGTCAGCGTGGAAATTCCACGTCAGCCCTCCCCGTCCACTGAGGCTGTTCCTGTGACATCTGGGTCACAGGGCGACTGGGACATTCACCGCCTCTTGCTGGTCCTCCTGCGAACCCAGCCCTCTGTCTTCCTTCCAGCTGCTCCAGACAGAGTGTGCCATTCACCGCCCCCTTCCCGACTTAGCACTCTGCCCGCCCACCGCCCACCCACCCGCAGCCCCGCAGCCCGGCTTGTGAGAGTGACGAGGGAGAACAGGGCATGTGAGGAAAGATGTCCCTCAGATGGCTGCAGTTTCCATGCCAAGAAACCGTCTCTGGCCTCTGGGGATTCCTGTTTGGTTCATCTTGAACTGGATTTTATTTTATTTTATTGTGAGTTTGTTCTTAAAGAAATGAGGCTTTGGAGGGCATCTGTCTGCAATCTGAACTTGGACTTGTGTGCACATGTTCATGGGGTGGTGTCCCTGGACACCACTGTGTGTCTGTGCTGAGCACATGCCCGGCATCGAGAACTTCTGTGCGATGGCCGCCACCGGCCGCCACCTCCCTCCCACAGCCGCAGCCGGCGACGAGGGGACCGAGGGGACGAGGCAGCACCTTGCAAACACAGGGCAGGCTCCAGGGTGAACGGGGACTGGAGGGTTTGCATCCACTTTTCTTCAGTGTAGGAGTTGATGTCAGGGTGACCCCGCAGCTGTTGGGAGTCATCTGGCTCTTTAGGGGAGAAGAAACTCAATAAGCCGGTCAGCCGTTCCCATCAGCTGGTCTCATTACGGGACATCCAGGTTGCTGGCTGCCCTTAGGACCCGCCCTCTGGGGGCTGTGCAGCCGCAGGGTGCGGGTCTCAGGGTGGGGGTCTCAGGGTGGGGGTCTCAGGGTGCGGGTCTCAGGGTGGGGGTCTCAGGGTGGGGGTCTCAGGGAGGGTGGGGGTCTCAGGGTGCGGGTCTCAGGGTGGGGGTCTCAGGGTGCGGGTCTCAGGGTGCATGTCTCAGGGTGCGCGGGTCTCCAGCTCCCCCACTCCTCACCCAGAGGCAGCCTCTGCAGAACCCGGGGGGCTGGGGAGCAGATGCTCATCCTGATGAACTCTCAGAGAACCAGCTTCTCAATTTTAGGGCAAAGCAAGGCTTGGCCTGCAGGAACCTTGGCCTTGCACACGAAGGCAGGTGGCCAGAAATGGATCCCCATCCTGGTTTGGGTGCTTATGGGCTGTGCAACCTTTGAGAATCCACTTGATTTCCTTGACCTTCAGTTTTCTCATTTTAAAATAGAAACAATACTTCAAAATTCACAGGTGTTTCGGGAAGGTAACCACTGTAGTGCGGGGGAAGAGTCAGTCCCATGACAGCTACAGCGGGCACCGAAGCAGTCGTCCCCATTCCATCCGTGCGTGGGGGTCAGCCCTTGCTGGGCAGCACCCACCCTGTGTGGCTGGGACTGCCCTGGCTGGGGAGGGAATCGCATGCTGTTGTGCCTAAAGCCTTGAAAGTGAGACCATCTCCTCACAGGCGTGCATCACACTCTGGCCAGAGCTTCAGGGCTGTCCTGCCCGGCGTCCTCCCTAACGGTAAGCACCGCCCGCAGATGGGACGCTGAGGCCTGGAAGGGAAGTCTCCTGTGGGGAGACCCAGGACCTCCTCTCTCTGCCCCTTTTCTGGG